AAATGTCTGCGTATCAAGGTGTGTGGTGTGAAGCACATTTCAAACAGGCGTCATGCTTATCGTGGCATGGATATGGTTTTCTGTTAACCGTAGAAAGAAATGTGTTACAGGCACAAACAACAACATTACAGCTTATTTCAATGTTTGGAAGCATAAGGACAGACTGTGGCTCCAGAGGTAGACTGGGTCGTCCACTAACCCGAGAAGTAAAGGGTTCGATCCCAGGCTTTTCCAGTATGCGTGGCGGGGTGTCCTTGGGAAAAATTGAATCTTAAATTGCCTCTCTGACTGGTGTGTTGGCAGAGTTTGATAGAAGTATTTTGTATTCATGTTCTGTGAAATAAACCAAACTAAATGTTAGTTTTCATAAAGCTAGAGCTCCAAAGGTTTCTTGTATTCTGACTTTTAAAACATAGATGTGGTTTTCCACCTCAGTCATTTTCTACTTCAGGTGAGAAGATAATTCTCAAAATAATCCACATCGTACTACTGCTGTTAAACTCCCTTTAGCTTTACTTGTGCTTCTATTTGTAGCAACAGTTGTTGTTGTTTTGTTAATTGCACCTCATTGATGTCAGAGTGATAAAATCCTTTATCACTACCATACTAAGTGATTAAAACCACAGCGCAAAACAAACCCTGGTCACAGAAGAGGTTGTTGTTTAGAAAATCTTGATACAGTAAACAACAGCAGCGATGTCAGGTAGCATCTGACCGTGAACTGACTTATTATTTTCACTAATTTCTCCACATTTGTACCAAATATAACAAGTCATCTTGAAAAAACATGAAAAGAAAGACAACCCAAAGTGCTGTGTTGCTGCTGCTCCACATCTTAAAGAAAAATACACAACCTGTCCGTGTGTTCACATATCAAATATTGAGATAAAAAGAGTTCATGTATGTAAATGTGCACGTGGGAGAGGGACACGCAAACAAAGATGGAGCAAGACAGAGATATAAAGACAAATGTGTGTGTGTGTGTGTGTGTGTGTGTGTGTGGTGATTGTAATGAATGGTGGTCATCATCCTGTGTTCCTTGAACTGTGCATGATGAGTGTCTGTCTTGACACATCTACATAATTGTTTTGTGTGAGAACCAACAAATTATGTAGATAGAATGAGTTGTGTATGTAATTATGTGCAGTGTGTACGGACAATATCTGTGACAGTTGGTGTGAGTGTGCGTTTCTGTGAGCACAAATAGGTGTGTGACTTTTCAGAAGAAAGCCCCTATGTGTGAATATACTTGGGCAAGTGTGGCGGTCTTGTCGTGTCTTGCATAGATGTGTTTCTGTGATATCTCAGTGTGTGTGTGTGTGTGTGTTACTGTATAATAATTTGTATATGTGTGTGTGTCGATGTGTGTTTCTCCCCTGCCCAGATGGCTGTGCTCAGAGGCTGGAGCTTCTGAGATCTGTTGCCAGTGGTGAATACTGATCAGAGATCACTGTCACATCTACAGCACACACTCACTCACACACACACACACACACAGCGCCACACGTCATCCATCTTTCACACACACCTCCACTTCCACATGGTCGAACTACTAATTCACACAGCCACTATGTGTCCGCCATGCTGATCTTTTCTGGCTCCGCGGGTCACGGCTGCGACACGGATTATGAGGCTGTCTGTCACACCTGAAGTTTGACACCCTGCTCGCACGACGCTGGAGATCTCAGCTTAATGTCACAATGACCTTAGTTATCAGAACAGTTTAAAAGAAGACATTCTACTGAAAAAATGATTTATTTATTGAGAAAATTCTCTGATAAAGAAATAATTGTTAATTGCAGGTGTGAAAAATTCATTTTAACTGTCTTAATATGGTAAAAATGCATAAAACTTGATGTTAGATCAATTATTAATCACATCAGATAAAAACATAAAAATAGCCAAAATAAATGTGTAAAACACTTAAACAAGAAATTGAAGTAACGGAAATTTAAATTTCACCTGCGAAATATAAACTGATCACAGAAATGTATAGAGGTAACTGTGATTAAACTATGATTCGAGTAAAAGTTAATGAACTATGAAGCAAATTATTACCTATCCCCATTTTTGAAATGTTGAAATGTTCTATAAGTAGGTTTGTTGTCAGTGACAAGAGAAAACACATTCAGAGAGTTAAATCGATCAACACCTCAGTATGAAATATTAAAAAACTAACTGGGGTATTATCACGTTGAGTAATTATATGAGGAAGCTCTGTTGTAATTTACAAGTCCATAAAATGAATCCCAGATCACCTGACCTCCTCCCACAGCGTCGGCTGCTCCTTCACCTGTCGACAGCTTGCCACTGATAATGACACAATCTGGAGGATTACTCACAATATGCTGCAATAAGGTCTCGCTCATGCTCAGAGATGTAAACACCAGTGAAAGACAGTTTGTGTGGCCTGTATGTGTAGCTCAACAGAGGAGCAGAAAATCCAGAGTAAAGACAATTTGGGAAGTGGGGACATTTTCTCCTCTGGTAAAGTAACTGTTGAGTCACTGGTTGTTAGTGAGTTGTGGCCATTTTTCTATATTTTAAATGTACTGTTCAGAATATCCAGATTCAAACCAGCCTAAAATCTATTGGCTCCATCTCAACACAATATTCCATTAAAGATAACCGTTTGTGTTTTAGGACCTTGTGAGACACAAATGAGCCCAGGACACGTAATGGAGTAAAAAACAAAGATGGACTCCACTCTCCAGAAATGAAGCCAAAATATCTCACGTACAAACGCTGCCATCTTGTGCCAGAGACATCATTTGGAGTCTGTGCAGTAGAGATCGGGGATGGAGCTGTGGTATTGAGGTCCAACTGATACGCTATCAATCGTGACACTTCATCTAATTAATTAAATCCAAACTTGAACGTGCACTTGGACAAACATCATGTGCTTTGACTTTTTGGTCCATGTCCCATCTGCTAACATGGAGGAGGCAGGGTTTATGACCTATACAACAGCAAGCCACCAGAGGGCGCTCAATACGCTTTGGCTTCCCTGTTGAGGATCTTTTAATGTCGTCCATCTTTATACAGGACACACTGACAGATTCCCTTAGAGGCTTCATTTTGTGGGTGGTCGATATGTGTTCACCTATAATGTTAATTCTATCTTTCAAACTTTGTACATATAGTCATGCTGCTAACTAAGGTTGAATTGTTTTTCACACATGAAAGAGTCACATGATATAACTGGACCCATTTGTGCAGCCACTTACGAGGCAATCCCTCTAAGTGGCTTGTGAACGTAACGCAGATTCATCTTATTGGGGTAGACCGACTGTAAATGTCATAAAATGTCACTTGAAAAAGTAGATTGTGGACAACTTGAAGATGGATGACGATATATAATCTTCAGATCACCAACCCCTGCTGGTGGGGATCAATATCTCAATCATAGTCCTGCGGGTAGACGATGTTTTTTGTTATCTTGGTCTACAGGGCATTAAAACCTTCACATGTGCATTTAAATCCAAGGTTAAATTACAAGACACAAAAATCCATAGAATCAAAGGGATTAAAATGATTAGATATGAATGAGTCAACGGAATTAAACATTCCTTCTATCACCACCGATCCAAACCTCAACCATTCCTCAGTAGAAATCCTTTTGGATACCTTTCTGTTCACTGAACACAATTGTTCTGCTGCAAATATCAAACCTGCCCTCTCCGCCTCTGATCAGCTCCTAAGCAAATGAATGCAAATTAGTCTTCAGAGGACGAGCCACAGCAGTGTCCATTACGCCCCGACACACACTCGGAAATGTAGTTAGTGTGCACAGTGTATGACGCTAGTGCACAAACGCACACACACTCTCACATCTCTCACCAGAGCACGACTGAACTCTGACAAACACATACGCACAAATACACACACAGATATCCGTGCACATTATCCCGTACACACACAGGGATTTACTCTCAAACAAAACGCACTCATGCACGTACACAGTTTCAGATATTATTAATAAGCACTTGCATTATTCCATATAATTTCCTTATCACACACACACACACATGCATGCACACACACAAGACGCAACATCCCGCTCTGCCTTTCCAGACGAAATGAAAGTGAGGCAGCCGCATCACACCTCCGAATCGGCTGTGGGCTCTCAAGACTTTCAGTGAGGGTAGAACTCGCTGCTCCCCTGTGGCCGTCACCAACACTAATCTGTCCATCTTTCTCCGTTTCATACACACAAACACACAAACACAGAAACTGAATGTGTTTTTTTTCTTCAATTTCTCATGAACAGAAACACACTCACACATACACATGACTGTACACACACACACACACGCACACGCACACATTGATGTACACATTCACACACAGTGTTTCTTGTGCTTGTGTCGATCCCGCTCTGTCTAGCAGGCGCACATGCACGAGCCCCGCCAGTGCAACACATGAGAAAGTGCATTATGAGCCCAGGCGTTCTCTGCATTCCTGCTGTCCCTGCTCGACAGGTATACAGGCTTTCTTCCGAAAGGTTTCCAATGCAATCTTTTCTCAAGGTTCAGTTTATGAACTGAAGAATTACGACGCAGGAACCTCTTGTGTCGCATACGAGACATAAACAAGAAGGAGGAGGAGAGAGAGAGAGAGAGAAAAAAAAAAAGAAAAACAGCAAGAGTGCTCACTCAAAAATGCAAAAAAGAAAAAACACGTCTATTTCTGTGAGCAAAACAGCTCTTCTACAACCACACCTCCCTTGAATAAGGAAATAAAAACAGGATTTCTGTCACAAACAGCCACATTCCTAAGTATGCAGAAAGAGCAAACAGAAAAAAAACATCTAATATGTACACTAGAACACATGCGCACCCAAACATCTGCCGTTCCTCAGAGTGGAAGTGGAGGTGGGCTGCACATGTTTTGCACAGGGGGTTCTCAGGTTTCACTAGGTAGGGAACCCCAAGGTTCTCCCAGTGAATGCTTTGTCGTGCACAGCTGAGGAGCAGCTCCGAGAGCTTTGGTTCACTTACCCGAAGGAACGAAATGAAGAACTTTGTTGGTCTCCATGGCTGAGTAAGTGTTGGCAAATGCACACTTCCTCTCTCCAACCGCTTCCCCCCCAAGTCAACCCATCATGGTTGTGTTATCCTGTGCTGATGAGTGTGAGATCACCTCTGCTCTCTTGCTCTGCTCTGTTTCTGACTGCCTCTCAGACACATGCAGTGACTCAGCCCCACTCTGCCTGCCTACTCGCTGTCTCGCCGCTGGGTCCTAGTGCCTTTGCTCCTCTCCATCCATTCCTTTACTCCAGCTCACCAGTCAGCAGCCTATGGCAGGCCAGCATGCAGCAGGGCAAACCTAACGTCAGGACACACCCCCTCCATCAGTCTTCTCTGAGCACATCCCAGCCACCCGTGCAACATGTCATCTTGTCGTCAGCCACACTGACCCAGCTGCTCACCATTACGCTTTCTCAAAGCTCTGAGGTACCCATGACTGAACGTGAGCTAATCTCAGTCAGGAGTGTCTGTACTGAATCACTCATCGTGCTTGTGGACACAGACAAACCATGAATGACATGGTATGAATGCGGCAGCGTCACATGTCGTAGTCGTGCATTCATGTCACAATGCATGCATTCATGCTCAGCTTTCTCAGAAGTATTGCTTTGTCTATTTCTACAAAATATTGTAGATCAGATAAGATTCATTGAAACCCTTTAAGGCCCAAACCCAACCCATGGCTGACAGATGACTACATTTTCTAGCTCAGTTCATAAATCTTGACATCACTCTGCGTTTTCCTGCCAACTCCCGAGTAAAATGTCCAGGAAATTCACAGCGAGCAAATAGGCACGTTGAAGATGTTTCTTACATCTAAAATGACAATAAGATTTGAGAGCCTTCTGTGATAAGGGCCAATGCAGAGGTGTTGATGAGCTGTAAACAAAAACACTTTCCACAGCAGAATTTAAACATGTCCTGCCTCCTGCTGCTCTCCCCAGATGCCACCTCTTGCCTGACTGTTCGAGAAGTTTTCCTGTTGTTGTGACTGTGTCTGACCCGAACAATCTCCTGCTGCGTTCCTCATATGTGAAAGCCCAAGTCTGAAAAGGTTCATGTCAGAAAACAGACAAACGATAAACAAACTGCAGTCTTGGCTCTGATCTTGGTCTAGTTCCAACTACTCAAATGGGACGATTCATTGTTTTTGTCAGTTTTACATAATTTTGAACTGTAGACCTTATGATCTATCACTTGTCAGAGGACGAGAGGTTGGAACATTTACCATGTGGCTTGAATGCCGGCCTTTGTTGCATGCAAGAGGCGATCCACTGTGACATCTGAAAAGTAAAGCTCAGTCACAAATGGTGCTAATTTTAACAAATCTACATTCCCTTGACTGACACAAAAGAGAGAACGCACTTTGTCTGGGATGATTTATTCCTGCCCTCATGAAACTTTGTAGGATGGAAGAAAAACGGGTTTTCTGCAGGTATGCCAACATATGAGGTCACAAAATAGTACGAGGAGCAGCATTTAAATGTACATAGAAATTGCTTGGTGTACAGTTATTGATCAAAATGTAGTATCTCTATGATTATTGGATGTCTGTGCTCAGCCTTAGATATAGAGTGAGGAGTTGGGTCATCCAGGATAAGCTGAAAAGCATAGCTAAGTAATGGGAAGTCTGGAATACCCTACTTGACTGGCTACCTCAGTGACCCAAGCCTGGGTAAGCGAAACAATGGATGGATGGATGGAATATAGCCATATAATCATACTTTTCAGGATGCGGTGTTCTATAGTGTGTAATAATTAACAAAGTATAAAAACTCTGGAATATAACAAAATACAGGCTTTAGATTTGGTATCTAAACATTTTGAGAAGAAACTTCAATCCAAATCTTGAGACGGTGCTGTAACCACTCTCCTGGATTCTGTCTGACTTGACAAAGAATGACCCAATTATTTCAAAAACAAGGCGTGTTCACTCTGAAACCACAAACTGTGCCACGGCAAAGAACAACTCATCCCAGACACTTTAACTGCAGCTCTGACGAACAATACCTTCGCTGTTTCCACTCATCATTTGCTGCTGTAATGAATAAGCATCTTATTTTCATGATTAATATCATGCCCATACTAACTACCAGTAGAATACTGAAATCAAGTTTCTGTTACTTTTTACAGTTCAGTGTTGCTGCCTCTTCTTTAAATCCTTATTTACAATATTTATTAGACAATGCCAATGGGGCTGAACAATCTGTACAAGGTGCGACACATTCTGTCTTTAACTTAGACTTTCTTAGGTATGTTTTCACATCGGTAAATGCAGACACCAATATGTCTGTGAAAGGCTCAAGTCTGCTCATGTTATTGGCAAACAGCTATATCGATCAGGCTCTAAAAATATATTTCAGACATGCTCGTTTTCTTTAATCAAAACCACACAAATAAAAATCACTGCAGTCAGGAGATTGGATCTGCCAGTTTACTTTTCTATAGGCTTTCTGTTAATGCAATAATGGCTGAGGTCGTGTTCACCACATATAATTGCACCATAAAGTTCGTACACTGCACATTTTGTGGACCATTTGTTAAATAATGGCAAACACAAAGCAAACAAGAGCAACAACAGAATTACATTCACTAATCTAAATTAATACATTTAAAATTTTAAATTACACCATCAACACTTCATTGAATTTGTTATTAGCAATTCCTTGAAATTTGTATCTTTAAATCAAACTTTTCCAATGATCCTGTCAAATTTACTATATTCTATAGATACTGGCTTTTTAAAATCAACCAGACACGGAGGCTACTTGATCCAAAAAATTAATTTCCCACCCTGATGTAAATGCTCTGCGAAAGGTCACTAATTTGCATATGCCTGCATACATAACATCACTGTGTGTGGTATGGCCAGTGGGTCTGCTTTGCATAAGAACTGTTGCACACTGAGAGAGCAAATACGTCAGTCACTGAGCCAGGGCGCATTCTCCCTAGAGGATAATTCAAGTCTTCTCATGCACCACAAATCCAGGTGTCATGACGGCGGCGCTCTAGTTAAACACTAAACAGCATCGCAACGTTACAACCAATGTCATGACAAGTGTCAATAAAAGCAAGTGAGTTGACAATGTGAATGACACGGTGGTGTCTTACAGGAAATAAAGGGATGTGTTGAAGCCTTAAGGTTGGATTTACATGTGTCTTGATCTTTGTTTTTTACCGAAGACTGAAATTTTAAATCTCACCGACATGGTGGCTCCAGGGGGAACCTGGGGTGGTTTGAGTTTGGTGTCAAATTAAGCTCCATTGCGTGGAAATGTAAAGAAACTAGATTTACTGCCTCACGGTTGTATGCCTGCGACGACCAGCCATGTTTGGCTGAAAACATATGTTGTGAGGTTACAGTGACCTTGAACTCAATCTCTTGATCCTTGATTTCAAATGTATGTAAAATTTGAAAATATTCCTTCAAAGTCTTCCTGAGATATTGTGTTGATGAGACAAGGTGTCTATTTTGTAAAGTCACACTGACCTGAAAACATGACTTCATTTTGTCTGTCCGTCAAGCGTCACGTCAACCTGTCGTATACCAACTGTCTAACTACTCACTCACTAACTGCATTGTGGTTCCGATGCTTTTGCCTGCCTTGCGTGTGGTAAGCACTGGCAAGTGCCAATCACATCACGTTTAAACTAAAACTAGTGTGCAGGTATTAGCCTATTTCATAAAGTAAATGCAAAAACAGGTCCTGTTTGACATCAACTGTCAGAATGAGCCTAGAGGCAGAGGCAGCTGGCAGGCACAGCCACCGTCAGTTCACTTGTACAGATGCTGGGTAGTTAAGTTTCAGATCAACATTGTCATTATCTGAAGCCATCTGATGAATGTGATTTACTGCTTTTGTTTTTACGTCAAGTCCTGTGGTAAAAATCTGTCTCTTTTGCCACTAAATGCTCCGTCTGCTGATTGGTGCTTTGGCAACGTTCTGGTTTTTTTAGAGTCATGTCTCGTTTGGCCAGAATCGAGGCTTTGAAAGCAGTGAGATTGAAGCATAACATTTAAGTTGTGAGACGAATCTAAAGAAAACTATTTTTTTAAACTAGCTACAAGGGCTGCGGTTATTTTAAAGGTTCACGTAAAGAACCTCAGGTGATAGGCAGTTAGATCTCTCTCTCTCACACACACACACATGTTGACCAAAACCTTTGGACAATACAAAAACGTTCCCATGTCGGACCACTCGTCAAGGATGAAAACTAAAATATTGTCATTATAATTTTTTTTATTTACGGCCATTTTCAAGACAAACTCTTTGTCAAACATGAGCAGTTACTGCTTCTGTTCTCGCGAGAATTTGTGAGTATCGCAATAGCAGTAACCGGGAGGAGGATAACAGCGGACACTTCGATGACACCACAGGAGCAGCATGGAGGCATTTTATGTTAAGTTGTCGCCATTTACTTCAGTTGTTTTGTATTTGGCTGCTACACTGTTTACCTCTGAAACTCCAAAAGTGTTTTGTGGACTCAAACACTTCACCAACCCCTCCATCGACATAGTGGTGAGTAGATCATACTATATCCATTTTTGGGTGAACTATTCCATTAACCACACCAATTTTCCACCAGTACCTTGGAATATACATCTATACAAGTTCTAGACTTGGAGTTTGTGTTATATGTGGTTTAGTTCAGTTGCAACAGAGGAGTACCACACCATGTGGCATCACACAACCTGCCAGAGCCATATGTTGTGTTCAAGTCTCCCTTGTCACTTCACAACAAGTGCTTCAGGAGGAACACATTTTTCAGAGTTGAGTTGTGATTCTGGATTTTTTTAACTGTTAAATGCATTTAGCTTTTTTTTCCAATCCCATTGTGCCTCAGCTGAGGTCTTGAACCCAGTTCATCCCATTTTCTGCTCAGAGCAATTGCCATCAAAAGGTAGTTCCAGCACATGTATGGAGTGGGAGGTCTGTGTATGTGTAAAAGCAAGAGATACAATTTCAGGTTGAGATGAGACTGAGTGCACAGGGAGGCATCTGGAATGACCCTGAAGCTACTCTGTGACTAGTCATCAGCGGGTGTTATGAGGCTGGAGGTGGGAATGGCCTCCAGGAGGCTCACAGCTGGGTATGTGTGTGTGTGTTAGTGAGTGATGAATCACCACTCGTGAATTGCCTTAACCACTAAAAAGCAATAAAGTGCACAGAGTAAGTTTAGCAATTGGGACCCC